TTTCCCATGGTCCATGAGTGTCTACAAAGCCCTGAGATTGCCTGATGTGTCCCATAGAAGCAACTTTTATTGGAATGTTTACATTAAAATCCTGAATACAGGTCCTATGGTTCACACCATCCCGTATTATCTTTCGTGATAATTTCTTTATTGACTAATAATTTATGGGATGCTATTGTCTGTTAGACTCCCCCCTGGACTGCCACCTTAACGTGGTGGGGGAGTTTGAGTACTCTGATGATCCTGGGAGCTATGCTGTCTGGGGCTTCATGCCCCTGGTAGGGCCTCCCATGGCAGACAGGTCTCAGGTGACGAGTCAGACAAAGAGCAGTCTAGAAGACACCATGGACAGCACAGATATGAGATCAGTGGCGTCGCCCGGCATGGCGCAGCCGGGGCCCCACCCTGGAGCCAGGCCTGGGGTCGGGGCTCGTATGCGAGCGCCTGGTGGCCGGGCCTTAGCCCACGGGGCCCGGCCGGGCTCAGCCCGAATGGACGACGTGGGCAGTCCCTCCTGTGGGCCCACCACCCGCAGAGGGGTCCGTGGTGGCGAAGCGGTGCAGAGAGGACTGGACAGCGGTCGAAGGCGGAGACCTCGGCGACCCAGTCCGCACACACAACAGCTGGCTCTTGGGACGTGGAACGTCACCTCACTGGGGGGGAAGGAGCCCGAGCTTGTGGGGGAGGTTGAGCGATACAGACTAGAGATAGTTGGCCTCACCTCGACACACAGCTTGGGCTCTGGAACCCAACTCCTTGAGAGGGGTTGGACGCTCCACTTTTCTGGAGTTTCCCGCAGGGAGAGGCGGCGAGCTGGGGTGGCCATTCTCATTGCCCCCCATCTCAGCCGCCACGTGTTGGAGTTCTCCCCGGTGAATGAGAGGGTCGCGTCCCTCCGCCTCCGGGTGGGGGACAAGTCTCTCATTGTTGTGACGGCCTACGGGCCTAACAGCAGTGCAGAGTACCCGGCCTTCTTGGAGTCCTTGGGAGGGGTACTGGACGGTGCACCGCCCGGGGACTCCGTTATTCTCCTGGGGGACTTCAACGCCCATGTGGGAAACGCCAGTGACACTTGGAGAGGGGTGATCGGGAAGAGCGGCCCCCCTGATCTGAACCCGAGCGGTGTTCAGTTGTTGAACTTCTGTGCCAGTCACAGTTTGTCCATCACGAACACCATGTTCGAGCACAAGGGTGTCCACCAGTGCACGTGGCACCAGGACACCCTAGACCGGAGGTCGATGATCGACTTTGTTGTCGTATCATCTGACCTTCGACCGCGTGTCTCGGACACTCGGGTAAAAAGAGGGGCGGAGCTGTCAACCGATCATCACCTGGTCGTGAGTTGGATCCGCTGGCAGGGGAAGAAGCCGGTCAGACCTGGCAGACCCGAGCGTATAGTGAGGGTCTGCTGGGAACGTCTCGCTGAGCCCCCTGCCAGACGGACTTTCAACTCCAGTGTTTCCCACAGGTTTGAAGGCAATGTGTGGTGGTCGGCGGGGGGGGGGTCGGCCGGCAAAAATTAACAATGACATCGTTAATTGGTCAAATACAGCTTTATTGGACTGATCAAAATATCAAACATTATTCACACGCTGTATATTACACTATAAATACTGTTAACGTTGTATAAACCCACTTGTTGCAAAAAATAACATTATTCACACGCTGTATAAACACTATATTACACTATAAATACTGTTAACGCTGTATAAACCTACTTGTTGCAAAGTTTGCATGTTTTATCAGAGCACCTGATTTTACCTTTATAAAGAAAGCGTCATCGCTTGTTAAGGGAGTCGGGACGGAAATTCGACATTGACACTGAACATTCAGCACTTTTTAATGTGTGATTTACGAGATCACGGGATACCAACCTTTAGTGAACTTCACCAGCCGTCTTCTCTGCACCAAAATTAATAGACACAGCTGCTTACAGCGATGATCGCTGATGGAGACGGAGACACGCGGTGTGCACGAAGGGGAGGGGCTGTGTGTGTGTAGGTCTCTGTATGTGGGAGAGACGCGTAGCTTGAGTGAGAGTTACGAAGGGCCGCCACATTTTAAACCCCCCTCCCCGCTGTCAAATTGACCGCTGCGGCGGCACTAGACGATGCATGTTTTAAATAGCGTAACAAAAAATATATATATATAACAATACGAAACGCAATTTGTGGCGGGCGGTCTCTAATCTGTGGCGGTGCGCCACAGATTAGTCTATGTGTGGGAAACACTGAACTCACACCTCCGGGAGAGTTTCTCCCAGGTCCCGGCGGAGGAGGGGGACATGGAGTCCGAGTGGACCATGTTCTCTGCCTCAATCGCCGATGCGGCGGCTCGTAGCTGTGGTCGCAAGGTCCCTGGTGCTGGTCCCGGCGGCAACCCCCGAACCCGGTGGTGGACACCGGCAGTAAGGGATGCTGTCAGGCTGAAGGAGTCCTATCGAGCCATGATGGTTCGGGGGACTCCTGAGGCAGCTGTCCAGTACCGGCAGGCCAAGCGTGCCGTGGCCCGGGCTGTTGCAGAGGCAAAAACCCGGGACTGGGAGGAGTTCGGAGAGTCCATGGAGCATGACTATCGGTCGGCCTCGAAGAGATTCTGGCAAACCATCCGGCGCCTCAGGAGGGGGAAGCAGTTCTTTGCCAACACCATGTACGGTGCGGGTGGAGAGCTGCTGACCTCGACTGGGGATATTGTCGGGCGGTGGAAGGAATACTTTGAGGTTCTCCTCAATCCCCCCGTAACGTCCTCTGTTTCAGAGGCAGAGGCTGAGGATGTTGGGGCGGATACATCCATCTCCCTGGCTGAGGTCACCAAGGTGGTTGGTAGCCTCCATGGTGGCAAGGCTCCGGGTGTGGATGAGATCTGCCCTGATTATCTAAAGTCTCTGGATGTTGTAGGACTGTCTTGGCTGACACGTCTCTGTAACATTGCGTGGCAATCGGGGGCAGTGCCAATGGAGTGGCAGACCGGGGTGGTGGTCCCTCTCTACAAGAAGGGGGACCGGAGGGTGTGTTCCAATTATCGTGGGATCACACTCCTCAGCCTCCCCGGTAAGGTCTACTCCAAGGTACTGGAGAGGAGGCTACGGCCGATGGTCAAATCTTGGATCCAGGAGGGGCAGTGTGGCTTTCGTCCCGGTCGCGGAACACTGGACCAGCTCTATACTCTCCATCGGATACTCGAGGGTTCATGGGAGTTCGCCCAACCTGTCCACATGTGCTTTGTGGATTTGGAGAAGGCGTTCGACTGTGTTCCCCGGGGTGTCCTTTGGGGGGTTCTCCGGGAGTACGGGGTCGGAGGTCCTCTGCTGAGGGCCATCCGATCCCTGTATGACCGGAGCCAGAGCTGTGTTCGCATTGCCGGCAGTAAGTCAGACCTGTTCCCGGTGAATGTTGGCCTCCGACAGGGCTGCCCTTTGTCACCGGTTCTGTTCACTGTATTTATGGACAGAATATCTAGGCGCAGCCAGGGGTCGGAGGGGGTCCGGTTTGGAGACCACAGGATTTCATCTCTGCTGTTTGCGGACGATGTTGTCCTGTTGGCTCCAACGAACCAGGACCTGCAGCATGCACTGGGGCGGTTTGCAGCCGAGTGTGAAGCGGCTGGGATGAGAATCAGCCCCTCCAAATCCGAGGCCATGGTGCTCGACCGGAAAAAGGTGCCTTGCCCTCTGCAGGTGGGTGGAGAGGTCCTTCCTCAAGTGGAGGAGTTCAAGTATCTCGGGGTCTTGTTCACGAGTGAGGGAAGAATGGAGCGTGAGATTGACAGGCAGATCGGTGCAGCGTGCGCAGTGATGCGGTCGCTATATCGGACCGTTGTGGTAAAGAGGGAGCTGAGCCGAAAGGCAAAGCTCTCGATTTACCGGTCAATCTTCGTTCCCTCCCTCACCTATGGTCATGAGCTTTGGGTAATGACCGAAAGAACGAGATCGCGGATACAAGCGGTCGAAATGAGCTTCCTCCGCAGAGTGGCTGGGCGCTCCCTTAGAGATGGGGTGAGGAGCTCAGTCACACGGGAGGAGCTCGGAGTAGAGCCGCTGCTTCTCCACGTCGAGAGGAACCAGTTGAGGTGGCTCGGGCATCTGTTCCGGATGCCTCCTGGACGCCTCCCTGGGGAGGTGTTCCGGGCACGTCCCACCGGGAGGAGGCCCCGCGGAAGACCTAGGACACGCTGGAGGGACTATGTCTCTCAGCTGGCCTGGGAATGCCTTGGGGTCCCCCCGGACGAGCTGGAGGAAGTGTGTGTGGATAGGGAAGTCTAAGCGTCTCTGCTTAGACTGCTGCCCCTGCGACCCGGCAACGGATAAAGCGGAAGAAAATGGATGGATGGATGGATATTGTCTGTTTAACTCATCTATTTTACACCAATTTTCAGCAATTGATTTACTTTCAGATGATAAATTGCCTATAAAGTACACCCCCCCCCCACCCCCCCCCCCCCCCCCCCCCTCACCCCCCCCCCCCCCCCCCCCCCCCCCCCCCCCCCCCCCCCCCCCCCCCCCCCCCCCACCCCCCGAACCCAATACCTGTTTAAACTGAGAGTTCGAAGTATACTACTTGTGTTCTATCCCTTTTGGCACTTGTTTGTTGCTCGGAGTGTTGTCTTTCACTTTTGAACACGTTTAGGGTTATCGTTACACAATCTTAACTATGAGTCATTGACAACCTTTCATGGTTCAAGGTGATTTTCGTGTTCTGGTTGTTGATATTAAGGACCATTCTAGGAGGCCCTCCTCAATGGAGCGACAAAGGGCAGGAAGAACTCCACTGTAAAGACACTTGGTGTACACTTTTTGTATTGAAAAAGCGCTTTATAAATAAAATTTGAAAGTGTGTTTAGAATTGTATGTAAAACAACCATTGACAAAAACGCAATTCCACGATTTGGTCAGGTGAACATTTAAGATAATTTCCTAGAATCGGAGTTCAGGATACAGGAAACATTATAAAAATGGGTATTTTAAATGAATTTGATCTGGATCGAGTTGGAAACCGGAGCACATGTTCGACTTCACCGACAACACCCCGTACGTCCACTTTACGTCCACTCTTACGTCATCGCGTTCTTGAGGCTCTTACTGCCTCCTCCACTCGCTGTACCCACGTCCTCCCTCTGCTCGCTGACAGCTCCCACCACCGCGCCGAAATTTGTCTGAAGCGGGGGAAACAGCGATCAACTCCGCAGCCAAGTGTTGACGTGTCGGGTATATAATAAAATGGCTTTATTCATTCGTTTTTCTAGGTGACGGTTAGTTATATTCTCTAAGTAACCATGGCTGTGTCAAGTAAAGACGGAACGCGGCGATCGAAATGGCACAAAAAGACCGCTATTGCACTTTTCGCATGGGGGGTAGTTAACATTTTCCTAATAAATTCTGGTTTTTTTTTTAAATTTATATCTTATGCTTTAGTAGATTACGGCATTTATTTGTAATGTATTTTCACATGTTGGCTAGCATTAACAAACAGCCGTACAAAGACCTTCATGTAGCATCATTATAGGTAGCTTACAGTAGCATTTTTGTGTTAAACTATCACACCATTACACTCGTTTAGCGTTTTAACATTAGGGTGTAGTTTTGTTTTCCCAGATATATTCGCTTTTTTATTGAGGTTAAGTATTAAGACTCCTTCCGCTCGCATTTCGGACATCGTGGCAAAGATACAGGAGAATAGCCGGCTGGATTCGGTGTCTTCATCAGCCAACATTTTATATCCGTCTGTATGTCAGCGGATTTTTACGGATCAAATTAGCATTCCAGTCAGCTTGTCATATCTATTTTATTATTTAACTGGTCTAACTTAATTTTCTTGAGTAGATCGTAATGTTAGATGACATTATTTAACGGGATCTGTGTCGCAGTCACGGGAGTCGTTAGCCTTTAGGCTGCGTGATGTCCTTCACTGTTGTTAACATTTGGTTATGGTTTCACCGCACGATTCGAGATCAGTGAGCCTACACTCTAGAAATAATGATATATGTGATATTGTAAGGCAAGCAAACCATCCCATGTTTCATTTTATCAATTAGATCTACCTTTGAAATATTTGTCATTTAACTCTGACATGTCTGCAGTAAAATTGATTTAGTGCATATCGTCTTTATTTGTACTGGTTTTTGAATTCATATTTGATCATTATTTCAAAGGTCTTCATCCTGAACCATGTTCAATCGGTAGTTTTTCATATTTTAATATGTATGTTTGTCCTGATATATATCCCCGTGCAGTGGGAACCGTGGGAGCCTGTGACATGTCCTTGGGGTACTGAAAACGGTTGCAGTCTTCGGGGCTCGCCCTGAGCGGCTGTGAACCCAGGTTTCAGCTCAGTGGCACCGGTGCTGGGGTGATCTTCCGGAACAGTGACTCCGGCCTGTTTCAAGTCTTACCGGTGAGAGTTTGGAGTGTTAATTTGAACTTCCTTTAGAGTTCTTCCTATAAAAATGGATTTTGTATTGGTAGTTTTTTTTTTTTTTCAAATTAAATCCTCAAAATGTTTCCTTCCAGATTCCTCAATAAAAAGGATGCTATGTTTTTCAGGTCTAAGTTTGTTTTGAAGTTGTACTGATTGTGCAATGCATTCAATCCTGTAAAATCTTGCATAATCCTGTTCGGAAGCCATTAATCTTAGTTGTGTGCCGTGGATTTGTCCAGGTAGTCCTGTTTTCCACTTCTGTTTGAGAGTTTAGAATTTAAACAGGGACTTAACACTTGGACATGTGAGCTCTGCCACTTTTTTGTAGTTAAGTAGAATGTATGGTGTCAAATCCTAGACTCTATTTCGCTCAAAGTGCGCAACAAATGTATGGACCACCAAGCAGTAACAATTATCTCTGCTAGTAAATGGTAAAATGAAATTCATATAAATATACAAAAAAGAAATACAAATAGAAACAACCCATCATATTTCTATTTATTAAAGGTTTTTTAAAAAACAAACTTGAAATCATAACGTTTGCACGTCCGTTTTTTCAAAGACTAATAAATTGTGCTTGAACAGTATGTACTGTGTAATAATACATATCCTCCTCCTATTCCCATTCTTTACGTGACCAGAAGACGCCTCCTTGAAAGCATGTAAAGACACTGTGTTTGAGACTAGGGTTAGTTATTACATACATGCATACATAAAACACTCATTTTTTTTGCTTTGCACCATGTAGTAAACACCTGGGGGAATAATATCACAAGATGTGGTTTTGCCAGCTCTGGTTTGAATGAAATGCAGGCCTCGTCACGCTAAATGTTCTGTGAAGACTGGACTTATGTAACTAGTTTCTATCATTCTCTGCCAGATGCCTGCTTTCCTCAAATAGATCTAATGGGAACAGGGATAGCCCAGCATGGTTTCAACTTCGTACATGGGGTTACTTAAAGACACCTTTGAGACACTTTTGCTGTTTTTAGGGAACAACATATTCATTGGTTTGCTGAATAGATCAGATGAGTTTTGAAGTGGGTTGGATGTTAGTCATTTTGTTTATACCCCATTTGAAAAGCTCAGAATCTATAGAATCAACCTTGCAATTCATGCTTTGATTATGACTCATGAATGTATTAATTTTTTTCCGAAAAATGCATTTATTGCCTGGAAAATCCCAATTCCCAATATTTGTATTTAAATAATTACTGTGCTGCTAAGGTGATGTCCAAAGAAAACTGCCAATGACTTAATAAATATACTAAAATGTTACTTTCACAAATTTTCTCCTTTGTAAACTGAACAAATTTACAAATTCTTCCCTCAAGCTTCCTTTGAGATAATGATCCTTTTAGTTTATGAAAAAACAATTTGTCTTACTGATTCAACACCTATTTATATTCAACTCTTCTGTCTGCTCACGCCTGTAAGAAAACAACCAGCCTTGGTCTGGTTGAATCCAGTTCACACCTTTGTGCCCAGTTTGAAATCTGAACAACAATGAGCAGGTGTTTAACATACAAATGTCTTCATTCATTGGTGTGTTGTGTATTTCAGGTCAATCCTTGAAAAAGAGGGTCCACGATCACTATTCAGAGGTCTGGGACCAAATCTTGTCGGTGTAGCTCCATCAAGGTACATATTCATGCTTCTCAAAAATGTACACTGAATCTAGTGTTATAAATGGCTATATAATTTCATTAAGTTCTGAAGAATTAAGTAAAGCCAATTCTTTATCACCACCAGTGATTATTTTAGACTGTCAATGATTGTATGGAGAAAAAAAAAACATTACAGTAATTTCTAACCTCCACATATAAACTTCTCAAGTGAACTGAGTCTCAGTAGTATAAAGCACGAAGCACAGATTTTGCTGATCACACAGAGGATGCAAGTGCTGAATTATGAAAAGACAATTGGGGTATTTGAAACAGGCATCCTCTCTTCTGGGGACTTTTTTATGGTGTGCACAGCTCCTAGGGACTCGGCCACTCTCAAAGCAGAGGGAGGAGGAGGTTGTTTTGTAAATAGGAGAAAGTCATCATAGCAACAGTAGTGAAGGTGGAGAAAATGAGCAACTGTGTTTTATTGAATATAAAAGATATAGATTATAAAAGTAATCCAGTGTAACAAAAGTAGGCACATTTAAAGATGAATATCAAATCTATATTTTAAAATAGATTATAAATATTTTTTAATAGATAGCCAAATTAAAACTATATGCCTTGGGATCTGTTTGGGAGACGCATTAGATTCCCTGTTTTTTATATACATGTTACTATAAATGTATCACTTTTTTGACTATATTTTTTCGATCTCCTGCATCTACTCTAATGTCCCTAAATCATTGGTTATCTAAATCTAACCAAATATAGGGTTGGTCTGTGCTTAATGGCTGGTATCAGGTTGTAGCCTGCGTCACTCAGACTTGCAAAGCATTGGTCACTGTAGCTCCTACCTCTTGAATTTTAAATGTCCACTGGTTATCTGCTCTCCAAAAGTATGCATTACACTACTCAGCTTAGCAACTAGGTTAAATCATTTCATATTGGATGTCACATTATGTGCTTAACATATTTGGTGAAAACAACAGTGAGTTAATCTTTACAGATGACAATCACTTGAATTTGGATCTTTGCTCTCTTGCAGCATGAGGTCAGGCCTCTGTGCGTCAGTTTGGGTTTAAACTTTAACATTTGTTTAAGGAAATGCAACAATGAACTTTGGTCTTACATTTTAAGTATACAGTTTTAAAGATTATTTAGTGGAACAGGTTGAACACGCTTGGTTTTAAACTTTGTTTAATTTTTACAGACAATATAATTGTGTGCGTGTGTGTAAAAAAATGTTTTTTGTTTGTTGTTGAGGCAATCCTGTGTTTTAAATTGGCCACTTAATTTTCTGTCTGGGTCTCAATATTTTGTCAGATGCCTTATTAGATATTGAAGTATTTATAAAATCAATTGCCCCTAAATTGGGGTTTCATCTTTGATTTTTAAACCAGAATAAGATGCACAACAGCTCTGAGACTTGCTGTGGTAAATCATTAGCTCCAGCCTGATCTTCTAAACTGGTGTTTTGCTCCACTGCCCAATTTGAATGGCATCACCACTGGCGGCCACAGAGTTTGAATGTCCAAGGGCATTCTGTGGGACGTTCTGCTCTATGTACACTTGCATAATCCTGTTACTTAATTTTGACAAAGTTTATTTAAACAAATTGGCCGCGTTTTTGTCTTTCAGAGCCATTTACTTTGCTGCTTACTCAAAGTCAAAAGAGCTGTTCAACGGGGTGTTTGTGCCCAACAGTGGACTGGTGCATATGTCCTCTGCAGGCTCTGCAGGTGAGCATTCCCCCACCATGCACGCAAGCACACACACACACACAGACTCAGTGACGCACGCAAACAGACAAACACACACACACGCAGATAGACAGACGCATACACACACAGACTCAGTGATGCAAGCAAACACACATAGACACAGCCGCACGCAGACACACACACACACGTTTGTGATTAATTTAAACTAATTTTATTTTTACTTTTATTTGTGTGTTTAGCGTTTGTGACCAACTCTCTCTGATGAACCCCATCTGGATGGTCAAGACCAGGATGCAGCTGGAGAAAAAGTGTGTACACACATTATTTTTCCTGCTTTCAGTAACTTTTAGTGGCCTATTGAGTGAACTTTGTCTGGTTAGGGTTAGAGTTCTTGAACTCTAAATCGATGCATTTATGATCTATGAAGTTTCATCTGATAATCTGAAAAAGGGTTGGCAAAAGTGTGGAAACCAGTCAATTAAAAACTAGTAATGCAGACAGAATAGTTCCTTATTACAATTACAATTACAATTGTATTTGAGTATACAATTGTATTTGAGTACTATTTCAAAATGACAACAAATATTATTTTGATTTTTTTTTTGTCCGAAAAGGGCATTTATAATACAGTGACTGTGGTATCAAAGTTGGTTTTGACTTTTTTTGTTGAATCGAACACGACTTTTTTTTTTAAATTATAAACCAATACTAATCTGAATTTGTGGTGTTGTTAGTGTTTTCAGTCCACTTTAACTAAATTTAACAAATTAACTGTTGAATTTTGAACAGACTACACTTTTTATAGCCCATTGGTAATGCCATAAGAAATATAAGGGGTGTAGTGTTTGTAAGTTATTGTTACAAAATGTCAGTTTATTGGACACAACTAAGTTGGTCTCATGCTTCCTTCATTTTAGTGGACAGTTAAACATGTACTGGTCAATCAGATGACCTGATCTGGTCTAAACCGCCAGAGCCTCTGTTCTTGGTCTCTGCAGCGTTGAGCCTGAGCGTGTGACCTGCTCCATAAATACAGAGAGCTGACGCAGTGTCGTGTGTGCAGAGGAAGAGTCTATATTTGCCTTACAGAGTACAGAGCAATAGTATCATGTGAGGTGGCAGTGTCTGTGCACCTGTCCCAGAGCGAAATGCTACCGTGATGATCATAGGGGTTCATTATGCAATCGTATTTATGTTTCTGTATGAAGATCCTCTGTGTAAATGTTGAGAGTTTAACCAGGGGTCCAGGGGTGCCCAAACCTTTTGCTTCCAAGGGCCAAAGTAAAAATTTGCCAGTCGGCCGCGGGCCAAATACACCGATATTATGCATGAAACACAAATAAATGTAGATTTGATCAAGTTCTTTTAAATGCATTAATTATTGTCTATAAGTGCAAATCACAGCTGAATGAATGAAATCAACACAGTCTTAGTGAAGTGGAGACTCCAGGGAAATATGCAGGTTTGAGGAGACTACAGTACGGAAAGATTCCGGCCGGGTAATCAGGGTCCAGAGGAGGGAGATTATCTGTCATGGCTTATTTACAGGTTAAAATCATATAATAAAACCTCAAAAAGAGAACAGAAACATACATTTTGTGTGCACCATGTGCACTTGTATATTGTAAATAGTAACTGTAACTATTTTAATTTTAAATTTATTCCTTAGAAGTGTTTTTTATTCTTTATTTTTATTATCTCTGTTGCACTGAGCCAAAGCAATTTCCAAGTCTATTTTTATATATTTATTTTGAACAAAAGTTTTTAACTACATTTGAATCATATTACTTTATCTTAGCTTTTATCAAAAAGGGGAGACATCACTGATCAATAGATCTGGTTTTAGCACACTTTTAAACAATGCATTTAAACATTAAGTAATGAATTTGGGAACATAATTGCTAACTGCATTTTCTAAACATGATCAGGTTTTAACTCTGTTTTAACATAGGACAAGTATTCTCAATTAGTAGTGAACTGAATATTAAACTAACAAAATCAGACTAGTTAACCATGATTTGTTCCTGGAGTTTTGTTTTGTTTTGCCTAAACACAGTACAACATTTATAAACAATCAAAACAAAGTAACTGTTAAAGAGTCCGAGTTTCCGCTCCTCCAAAGGGCTCTTGAACGCACCATAAAACTCTGCGTAAGTTCTGACATTCAATGATCGCGAGTGAGGACGGCGCTTACCGGCTTCTTTCATGGGGCTGTAGAAGGGTTTGTTTTGCACAGTATTTGTTGCTTCTACTTGCGTGGATCGTGCGCTGCGATCCCTGCTTGTCCTGCTTGAACTCACTCTGAAGTGTTTGTGTCCGTCCTTTTTAACACACCGGGTGGGTGCGGATTGCGCAGGTGAATAGTTCCACTCGCCATTTCCCTCCGGTGAGGAGGGGGAGTGGCAGTTCACCAGCACAATCCTCTCAATTTGATAAAACATTAAATAGCTCCAAAAAATAATACTAGTAGGCTGAAAAAAAAGAACATAAAGGGGCCTTGCACCCAATTGTTTTGAAAGATGTGTTTGAATTTAAAAAACATTTTAGTGCAAGTTGATGTGAACCATGAGTGAGGAGTGTATCTCTAAGTACTGGACAGTCGGAATTCAGAGGGTGACTATGCGCCCGCGCGACCTCAGACATGTCACTGTTAATTCAGCGAGGCTGAGGGACGCAGATAGAAACTTATAGCGGAGGTGGGCAATGTTTGGCGGGCCAACTGAAATGGTCTGGCGGGCCAACTTTGGCCCGCGGGCCCCACTTTGGGCACCCCTGGTTTAAACAATACAAGTTTGAGTCTGACTGGTGTGTACTGAGCATTTGGTGAATGTGGCTATGCGCCATACATTTTAACACTAACAATTATCTTGCTTCCTTGGTGACCCTTTATGGCGGACAGATATACAATGTTGTCATCCTGTTTTTCAAGTAATTATGTGAATCTTTATATTTTTTGTTCAGGGCCAGAGGAGAGAAGAAGATGAACGCTCTGCAGTGTGCTCGTTACGTTTACAAAACAGAAGGTGTCCGAGGGTTTTATCGAGGCCTCACTGCGTCTTATGCTGGGATCTCAGAAACTATGATCTGCTTCTTGATCTATGAAACACTGAAAATACACCTTGCCAAGAGCCAGTTTGCCTCCCCCAACGGAGGAACTGAGAAAGGAGCCTCGGACTTCCTCAGCCTCATGATGGCGGCTGCAGTCTCAAAGGGCTGTGCGTCCTGCGTTGCCTATCCACACGGTAAACACAGCTCCCATGTGTTTCTCTTCTCTCGTCACTGCAACGTTTCAATACTAATTTACCCTCTTTCTCTCCACACAGAGGTCATTCGGACGAGACTGCGGGAAGAGGGCAGCAAGTACAAGTATTTCTTCCAGACGGGGAGGTTAATAGCTGTGGAAGAAGGATATGCAGCTTTTTATAGAGGACTCATTCCACAGTTAATTAGGCAGATCCCCAACACAGCCATCGTCCTCTCCTCGTATGAACTGATCGTGTACCTGCTCAGAGATGCCAACTGAGGATGGCTTTGCACAATGGACTGGACACGTAGCACATTTATGTCTATGGTGCTGCTACAGAGACTTCTGGTGAACGTGACGCAGCCGACCATAATCCAAAGAATTCAATGCGTTTTATTTAAGTACGGAATTGTCCATTGGAGATTTTCAATGTAACTGAAGAAGTCGTGACACAGTTGTCAAAAGTGTGAAAAAAGGTCAGCTTTTTAGAGGCTTGGTTTTAAGTTATAAATTATTTTGATATTTTATGTGTATATTTTATTTAGTTTTATGCTTTGTTATTGCACCAACAAGATTGAGCAGGTTGATTTCTCATAATGAAGGGACAAAACAAGTTATTTGCTGCAAGTAGCGTTCATGGTAAACCACACAACCAAGACGACTACAAGTTCCTTCTAAAAGTGCTGTTCGAATCAAAGAGATAATCCTATTTTTCTTTAATGTATTCAGGATACAGGATGTTTGAGTAAGTTTTCCTTATGAGAAAGCCTCATGTTTTACAAAAGGGTGTGGATGCTTAATAAAATGCATCACTAAAATGAGCTGTAGATGTCTTTTTAATTTTATTGCAACCTTAAAGCTATTCACTAAAATTTACTCTTGATTTATCCGGCTCAACAGAAGCAAACCTGAAAAAAGTTCGACTCCAGAGTGATCAATTGTATTTGCATTTATACACATAAGCAGTTGAAACAGGCAGGTTTCTTGGTAATGGTTTGATATTGATTAGTAGGTAAAATGGTTCAGTTGTGTAAAGGCTTTAAAACACGAGAATCCGTCGTACATTTTGCTATATTTAATAAATGGACAAGACTAATCATTTGCCTAACAATATTCATACTTCCCTACATTTTCATTTCATTTATTTGCCATTTGTAGTAAAACCACATTGGAATACATTTGCAAAAGTCCTCATTGTGTACAAGAGAAGGACAGAAATAAAACAAAACGGTAAACAAATTGACACTGAAATCGATTGACTAAAACAGTTTCAATACAAGTGCAAGATCATTTAAAGTACTCTGTTTAAACTGATGACAAACGTAATGTCCTGCATCTCAGTGAACGTATCTTCTGCCAGAATAAAGAAACTGGAACATTGCTTTTCCAGGGTGAAGGCCAGAAGTCATTGATTATTTTTAAGAGCTCTGTTTAAAAGTCTAGATTTATAAAGAACCTCTGAAAAGGCAGCTCACAGTCCTCTTTGCTTTCTTATTGGATCATTGTGTGAAAGATTTAAGAATTATCTAATTGTACATTTTAGGCTGGAATTACAAGAATCTTGATTACATCATGTCCTAGACCTGTGTTCAGAAGACTCATTTTTGGGAAGTGCTCTCTGTGAAGCACGGTTGCTCTGAGTCAGCCCGAGTCATGAATGAAGAAGCCTTGTGGTTTATGTACTGACCTCTGCTGGATGCAGACAGACCCCTAAGGAAGATATCAAGCACATTTTTAATTTGTTTCTAAATTGCAAGTGCTTTCAGCGTTCTCATTATTGAAAAAAAAAAAACAACTTAAGAAATTTAACGTGTACAGAAATACAACCATTCACAAAAAGCAAGTTCTTAAGACATTAAAGTTCATAAGATTAAGTCTGCTAAAGATACTGTCCAGAGGTTGAGAGTCATAAGAGATAGCTCTTCATTTACAAGATACAAGAATTTATTAGCCATTTGCTGTAAAACCACATTGGAAAAACTATGCAAGACTACCCCAGTGTGCACCAGACGGCACACACCACAGCTCTTGCACGGCGCTATCTTTCAAGATTCAATAATTTATTGTCATTGTCACAAAAACAACAAATTTACATTTAGATATAAGCATATAAAGTTCAGAAGTTGGCAGGATGTAACCAGCACAGGGGAGAGGTAGATTATTTACTCTGCCCTCTGCTGTCCATGCAGGAAAGTGGTTAAGTGGATTGCACTATTGCTTCTCAGCAAGAAGGTCCTGGGTTCGAATCCAGGTCGGAACAGGGCCTTTCTGAATGGAGTTTGCATGTTCACCCCAGTAGATCCATGGTTCACCCTATGTTTGTGTAGGTTTCCTCTGGGTACTTCAGTTTCCTTCCCCTACCATTAAAACATGTACAATAGGTCTGGCATGTGCCTCCTGTACTGGTAACTCCACTCCCATCTCTGTGTGGAGTCAGACGAGAGGATAAATGCCCACGATTGTAAACCACTTTGTGACTGGTCTGTGAAAGGCGGTATATAAATAACACTTACTTAGATTAGCAGAACAGTAACAGGTTGTGAGTGAGTATGTTAGCTGCAACAATGCACGACCAGTTCATAGTTATGGCAGATATGTAAAAGTAGAAGTGAGAAGGGGGGCAGTGTTCATTCTCCCTAGGATGCACAGGGTCTCTGCTTCGCAGCCACTGGCAGTCTAGTTAGAGGAGAGACCCGGCTGGGGCCCTGTCATGAAGCCACCTGTGCCATTCCCTTAGTGATAACACAAAGAATACATTACAGAAAGACATCTGGAGTTAATCAGTCTAATCTGGAAAATCTAATTCTTGTTCCGTGTAAGAATCAGCCGACCACAACCGCTGATACTGAAACTTTGAAACTTGCTATGCTAAATGTCAGATCTCTTTCTAACAAGTCTTTTTTAATCAATAATTTTATTTGTTCTTATAATCTTGATCTTATGTTCATGGCTGAAACATGGCTTGACCAAAATACAGAAAATGCAGTTTTAATAGAAGCATCACCACCAAATTTCAAATTTGAATCTGAAATACGGGAAAACAAAAAAGGAGGAGGCTTAGCTGCCATTTTTAGAGACCACTTTGTCTCCCATAGAATGTCTCTTGGGAAGTTTCCGTCTTTTGAATATGTGTCTTTTAAAATACAACAAAAACAATCTCCTCCCATACTCTTCATAGTCCTATACAAGCCACCGCAGTCATGTCACAGTTTTATTGATAATTTTACCGAGTTGCTTTCAGTTGTATGCACAGATTTTGATAGTTTAGTTATTACAGGTGATTTTAATATTCATGTGGATAATGTTGATGACAGAAATGCAAAAGAGCTGAGTTCTTTACTTGATACCTTTGGTCTCACTCAGCACGTGAGTGGCCCCACCCACAGCAGAGGGAACACTCTAGACCTGTTAGTTACAAAGGGGGTGAATATTTCAAATATAAGCGTGGTCGATGTTGCTCTTTCGGATCATTTCTGTGTATTTTTTGACATGTGTTTCACTAACAAACCACCAGTGGACTCTGCAACTGTTCGAAGAAGACACATAAATGAAAATACGAGTGAACTATTTATGGGAATGATAAACTTTGAAAATGCATCGTATTCTACTGTAGATGAACTGTTTAACTCTGTCACCTCTAGTGTTTTGAATGTTCTGGATACCGTTGCCCCTGTGAAGGTTAAAATAGTGAAAAATAAGCAGAAGGCACCGTGGGCTAAAGCAGACTCGGTCAGAGCACTGAAGAGAAAGTGCCGGAGGGTCGAGCGGAAGTGGCGCAAGTCCAACCTCCAGGTTGATTACAAGATATTCAAGGATAAGTTGTGCGAGTTTAACCGGGTGCTACGTAGTACGAGAGAAAGGTATTTTTCTGAAATTATTGAAGGCTGCAGTAACAATCTGCGTGTTCTGTTTTCAACAGTTAATAGATTAACAAACCCCCCTGTTCAGATGCCATTAGAGCTAACTTCCAAACGTAAATGCAATGAGTTTGCACACTTTTTCAATGACAAGGTTCAAGGCATCAAAAACGCCATTGTCTCCAATCCACAGAAAACCATCCAACAGCCAGAAAGGCTCTCTGAGCTAACTTACTTTGCACCTGTAGATGATAAAAATGTCCAAGAAATAATCTCCAGTTTGAGCTCCTCCACATGCAGCCTGGATGTACTACCCACTAGATTTCTGAAGTCTGTTCTGAGCAGTCTGTTACCTTCACTCACACAGATAGTAAACATGTCCCTTCATTCTGGAATATTCCCAAAGGCCCTGAAAACGGCAGTCATCAGGCCCCTGCTAAAAAAGAGCAGCCTGGATGCTACGGTACTTAACAACTATCGTCCCATCTCAAATCTGCCATTTATGGGGAAAGTCCTTGAAAAAGTTGTCTACCTACAGCTTACTAGATTTCTTATAATTAACAACTCATTTGATATGTTTCAGTCCGGCTTTAGACCCCACCACAGCACTGAGACTGCTCTTGTCAAGGTTACAAATGATATCCGGCTGAACACTGACGCAGGCAAAGTCTCAATCTTAATCTTGTTAGATCTGAGTGCTGCCTTTGACACCGTCGACCATGAGATCCTCTTACAGAGACTAGAGGACTGGGTTGGAGTCTCTGGCACCGCCCTAAGTTGGTTTAGGTCTTACCTTGAAGACAGGAAGTACTTTGTGGAGATTGGAGACTGTGTCTCAGATCATATGGCCCTGACCTGTGGAGTCCCACAGGGGTCGATCCTGGGACCTCTTCTGTTCAATCTCTACATGCTGCCGTTAGGTCAGTTAATACGCAGAAACGAAGTGTCCTATCATAACTATGCAGACGACACTCAGATCTATGTCTCACTGACTGCAGGAGAACATGGACCAGTGGACTCACTCCTTCACTGTATCCAACAGATCAGTGAGTGGATGCAAAACAACTTCCTTCAGCTAAACGCAGACAAAACTGAAATGATTGTCTTTGGTCCCCAGAAACAAAGAGAGAGCGTCATCTGTCACCTACAGTCTCTCTCCCTAAAACCTTCAAACAAGGTCAGAAATCTAGGGGTAATACTGGACTCAGACTTAAATTTTAATAGCCACATCAAATCAGTAACATCAGCAGCTTTTTACCATCTAAAAAAACATTGCCAGGATCAAAAACATAGTGTCTAAAGCAGACTTGGAGATTCTTATCCATGCATTTGTCTCCAGTAGGTTAGACTACTGCAATGGCCTGCTCACAGGTCTGTCCAAACAGGCTGTAAAACAGCTGCAGTACATTCAAAATGCAGCAG